TCGCTCGCTCGCGCGGTCCGCGTCCAGCCCGCCGCTCTCCGGACACAGGCACACGGCGCGCGCAGCCGCACTCGCCCCCGGAGGGAGGCGCCGCGCTGGGTCCTAAAAAGCCCTGATTCCGCGCCCCCTCCCAGCCCCGCGCGGAGCTGGGCCTCCCTCAACCCCGGCGCTGGGGGCGCCCGCCCCGCATGGCTCGTGCAGCTCCCAGGGAACCCGCCGATGCTTCACTTTCGGGGAGCGCCACTAGATGGGAGAGGTCTCCGGGAGACATCTAGACCAGCGTCCCCGGGTCAGACTGAGGTGAGAGGGGCGTCTGCACCCGCCCCTCTCTTTTCAAACTGGGGACGGTCTTATCCTCTAGTGAACCAAGACGCCCCCGATCCCTATCAGGGACACCTTGACCTGGACCAGTATGGGCCGCTCCAAACAACCCTTTAATACTGACCCTTGTCACGGAATCTGGAGCCCACATGATCCTTTCAAAAGCACCCTCTCGCATGGACCCCAAAATGTCTCCCCCACCCCCATACACACGACATACATGCTGTCCTCTAAGCTCTCTACTAACAATCCAATAATCCTGGACGCTTATTAACCCCTTTCGACCCCTTACTGACCCCAGGCCTTTCATAACTTCAGGCTGACCCTAGTCTCCCATGAGTGCCACACATTCTACCCTATTGATCCTGCTCACTGATCCTCCCACACTAGCCCTGGATCCTTAAGTGGGGATCCCCTATGAGAAGGGCAGTCTGGGCAGAAGGTGGTCCTGAGCATTGACAATCCCGCCTCCCCCCATAGGACTTCAGCTGCCCTGGTTGGTAAGCGGATTCTGTGTCTGGGAGCTGGATGGGAGCAGCTGCCTGCTGTAGTTCCTACAGCTTCAAAGATGATCCTGGAGGTGGGAGTTGCAGTTTGGGCCTTTAAGCCTTCCTGGCCAGTGTTTGGTGCCAGTGCCTCAGTTTACTCAACTGAGCAATCACTCCTTTACTCCTGTTCCAGGCTCTGTCCCAGGCACAGGAGCACAAGAGACCCTGTCCCCGAGGGGTTCCCAGGCTGGTGGGGAAGTGGGCAGGTGGGCCTGGACCAGGATGGGAAGGTCAGGCCCAGCTCCAGGTGGCTCTGCCGGGAAAGGAGCTTATTGATCTCAGCCCAGCTCAATCGAACACAAGGCTGCCTGGGCAAAGGGCTATTTAATTAAGAAGACATGAGACTCATATTTACCTGCGGGCACTTGCTAACTGTGCAGACAGCTGTCCCTTGACACTGACCTGCAGACACTGTTGTGGGCCTGGGGACAAAGCTGTGCTTCAGGCATCTCTCTCCTTGCTTGGCCAAGGGAATCCCAGCCCAGCCCCAGGGAAATCTGTGTGTGGTGGGGGAAAGGTTTGGAGTAGTAGAGAGAGTTGGAGAGAGGCCAGGGTGAGGGCAAGAGATGAGGGATGAGAGAGAAGAACAAGAGGAGAGACAGAAAGAGGCAGAATTAGGGCAGAAACAGGGGTGGAGATCGGCAGAGTTAAAGAGAAGGCTGGAGCATGGGGCCAGTATGGAGCGAACAATCCTCCCTCCAGAGATCAATCTGTTATTCTTCTAAATGGGAGCTATTTTCCCTGCAATCTCAGAATAATGCAGGGGTGAGAGTGCTTTGAGTTTCCCTCTCACCCTGACCAGTGAACCCCGTCTCCTACCCATGAGGAAGCCTGACCTTGTGTGGTTCAGCCTGGCCCAAATTCAGATCTCCTGGGCATAGGGTCTCAGAAAGCTCTGCCCCAATGCAAGGAGGTGACAAAACAGAGAGATGGACACCCCAGCAGGAAAAGAAAATGATAGACACAGAGAGATGGAGACACACACACCCCTGGCTGGGAGAAATCAAGGTGGGAGAGAGAAGGAAGAGGAATTTCCAGACCTTCCCTTCCTTCCAGCCAGATGTTCGCCCCTCTTTACCCCCCAGGGACCCTTCTGTGATTCTGCCAGGCACGGGGCCCAGGGCTCCATCCCTTCCCTCTCTTGTAGAACCACATGGGATCAAAGTATGACTCCCCAGCCTTCACTCTAGCTCATCTCATTCCCAAAAAGTGACTATCATCTCCTCCAGGGATGCTGCTTGTTTGCTTCCCTGCACAGTGCCCAGAGCACAGGAACTCCTCATTAAAGCCTGGGATGATCTGAGAAAGGCCAGGACAGAGACCAGGATCCTAGAGTCCCAGTGCTGGAGGCTCTAGGAGCCTGGAGCCCTTAACTGAGGCTGAGTCAGGGAGAGGGACTTACCTAGGGCTTCTCAGGGAGTCAGTGTGGAGCCCACTCGGGCCACTACCCATGGTGAGTCACGATGGGGAGCTGAAATGTGCCCCAGATGGTAGAGAGAAGAAGAGGGGAAGAAGGGAGAGGCAAAGGGCTCCTAGTAGGGGGAAGGTTGGGTGATTAGGAGCTCTGGTCAGGCCTGGCCCAGAAGGATGTGCTAGAAAAAGAAGCAGGCCAGGGTTGGAGGGAAGGGGGGTGTCAAAGGGTGTCCATCACACCTTAAAATCCCCTGTGAGGCAGAGAAGGCTCAGAGAGAAGAGCCTCCCAGGTGGGAGAGGGTAGGTGCCCCCACTGTCCCACTTTAGGATTCTCACCTTCATCATTGATGACACCCCCCAGCCTAAGCCTCAAAGAATGCCCCCCACCTTCTCCGTCCTAAGCAGGGACATAAAAGTCTCTTTTCTCACACTCTCTTCACACTGTAAGAAGGCTGGCATTTGCAGAAAGCCCAGAAAAACCAAGAGGGCATTACAGGAAAAGAAGGGAAAAGGCCCCAGAGAAGCAGGGGTGGGAGGAGGACCTGCTGACAGAGCCTTAGCTTCTCCCCCACAACCACTAACCACAGACCCTCAGCCCAGCTGAGAACCTCATTCCTTTTCATCTTTGAGCAGTGCCCCCCCTTACTCATAGCCATATGCCCCTCCCTTGCAGAGAGAAAAGCTTGTGGTCCCATGCCAGGGTCTTTGGGATCAGTGGCCTGGGCAAGGGGCAGTGAACTACAGACAAGGTAGTGGTGTTCAGTGGCCAGGAGCACAGAACCAGACTGCCTGGGTTCAAATTCCAGCTCCACCATTGACTAGCTGTGACTTTGGGCAAATTACTCAATTTTTTTATGCATCAATTTATTTATTGTTGGATATGAATAATAATAAGCCCTATATCCTTAACACCTCAGCTCTGGAATTTTTCTTATTCAGACTAGAGGGGAGGTGTTGCTGGGCTCCAGTAAACTGGGGCTGGACTAGCAAAAGGTGAAGGGAGTCCTGAAGCCAAGTTTGACCTATGTCCTCACACCTGGCACTTGCAGGCTTTGGTCTAGTCCTGCTGGGCTCTGGAACTGGACCAAAGCCAGCCCCCAGGCCTTTGTCCAGGTTGGCACATCCTATATGCTGCTCTCCCAGCCCAGAGCCTTAGCATTCCTGATGGGTTGGGGTGCCATCTTGTGGCTACA